CCCCCCCCCCGGAAAAAGAAGATGTTGCCGAGGATGCCTGCCCCCCTCCTCCCCCTCCTCTTGCTTTTGAAATGAAGACCGCATCTCCCCCCCCCCAGCCCCCTCCCCGCGCTAATTGAATTAGTCCATTGAGAAGACTGTCAGGTACAATGAGGCGAGATCCCCGTGCATTTCACAGGGTCTATAGGCTTTGGGGACCCGGAATGTATAGTCTGACCTTCGCGCTCATAATCATAATGCCGCCCTTGTAAGAGAAATCTCTTCGCATTCACTTGCAACAAAAAAAACCTCTGGTCAGCCGGTCCCTGTAGGAAGGACGCAACCCATTGTGTTGCAACAGCTCATTTATGTCCTTCACCAAAGGCCCCAAGGAGATCCGATCTGGCCCCAGAAACAGGATTATCAGCGTGTACATTAAAGAAAGCAATATATATCCCTGCCGGAACGGAAGCAACCGGGGTAGTAGCAAAAGGGGCAGCGTTTTACAAGGTCGCCCCGGTAGCAACCCAGGGCCGGCCTGCGCAGATCGACGGAAGCCTGCGCGGGAGATCCCGGATCCCGGCGGGGGGATCCCCTCGGAATGGGGTTTTGAAGGCAGGGAAATGAGGCAGGGAAATGAGGTCAACTTATCCAAATATCTAATGCCTATAAAACACACGCCTATGACCCCCTACCTACCCCGGGGGCCTGAATATATGAAGACCACACAAACACAAACGCACACACACACACACACACACACACACACGCCTTCCTCCCAAAGTTTAAAACTGTGCCAACTTTCAAATATTCGGCCCGTGCCAATGCAGTTTATCTTATATTTCGTTTTGGGAATGTATGCTTAAAATAGTAATAATAGTGGCAATGATGTGAGCGGATAACAACAACAACAACAACAACAACAATATCCCCAGAGAGAAGCGGAGGAAGAACCCAAGAAAAGAGAAGGATTTTTCATTTTCTTGGCTTTTCTTACACTTCTCTCCCGCTTTTGGACGCCCACAGCCACAGAGAGACTCCGGCTCGTTTTCTGCGACTGGAGTGGAAACGATTTGACACTCTGAGAACAGAGCGAGAAGCAGCGGCGGCCGCGGCAGCCAGACAGAGGAGGCCGCCCGAAACGCCGAGCGGCAACTTTGGGCTGCTGCTTGCACGGCAGCCTTGGCGCTTCAGTGGGTCCAGCTCCTTAGCGAGGACCTTAACGCGAAGAGAAGGGGGGGAGTCCGAGTCAAACTGCAGGGGCCGAAAAGGGAAAGGCCGGGCCCTCTCTCGGCTTGGAGCCGCCTTTTCCCCTCCAGCTGGTCCAGCAACAACCTAAACGCTGCAAAGGCTGAGGTCTCCCTTGAAAACGGCAAGGCCCTTTAACTGACACCACACACACGAATCTGAGCTATTTCTTTTCGGATCACNGCGCGTCCCAGCACCTAATCAAAACTATGGGCCCGCCAGCGCATTTATCATCCCATTACTGTAACAAATCCGGGCTCCCACTCCATGAAAGGTAAAATGAATTACCGACGTTAAGCCGTCAATAAAGTCATTTCTGTAAATGGTGTCTCCGAAGGACTGCAGCATTATTCAACCAGCTTTATCAGCAGCTGGGAAATTACGTGGAGAGGCGCGCAGCGTGTAATAGGGGCCCTGCTTACTTTGATTAAGCGCTGTGCCAGGGAATAGTGACAGTGCTTTTTGACCAGGTTTTATTCGCCGTCTTCTGATGAACGCCAAGCTGATCAGGCGGAATGAAGAGTAATTAAAACCTATAAATTATCTTTCGCGGTCCTTCTCAAGGCGTCTCTTTGCAGGCGAGATAAGGCGGCGGACCCCCATTTACGGCTCTGAAAGGGACGGAGGCACACAAAGGCGACGCCGCTAAATGGGATATTGATAGTGTCCTAATTAGAATTTAATTAAGTACCCACGCTCGCTTTTGGGATAAAGATTTCATTTTTTTTTTCCTCGTCCTCCTCCCCTGTTTTTGCGAACTAAAATATAAATAAAGCCCGATTTTGGAAAAAGGGAGGGGAAACGCAACGAGAGGAATGCGAATGGCCAGATGTTCAACAGTCGTTTAATTTCGGCGTGTGCGTGCGCGTGATGTGTTGATTCTCTTGTGCCACTTAGCAGCTGATCTGTAATAGTCGCTTTTAAAGTTTGTTGCAAAAGTGGGCCTTTCTGGGCTAAAGGCGCGATTTAAAGCTTCCCTGCTTTAGCAGACCCGAGAATGCAGTGAATAAGGAACAAAGGCCATTCCCTGACATTTTAAGAAAAGGGTCTTTCTGGAATCTCTCCTTTGGGCGGCTGTGGGGGAATCGCCCGCATCCCATTTTAAACCCGGGCTCTCTTGAAACGATCCCGATTTGTCAGTCTTTCAAAAAATAAAAATAAAAAAATAAAAATCCACCTTTAAAAGAAAAAGAAGGAATCGGGGAGCGGAGCGAAAGAGAGAGTAACGACCGACCCACGTGATGCCGAGTAGGGGCTTCTCGTCCCTCCGCTCCTGGGCGAACGGGGGTCGCAGGTTGTCGGTCCGCAGGAGCACCTGTAAGCGGCGTGGGCGCCGACCCTGCAGCGAAAAAAAGTAGCTCCGGGGCCCAAGAAATCCTCCCCAGTCACCCTTCGGCTCAAAACCCACCATTGTGGTATTTCCCGACGCGGCAGCCTTTCGGAGCTTAAGCGTGCATTTGCGTGTAGGTGAGAGAATGAGCTCGGGGGAGTAGGATAACCCTCCCGCAAACAGTAGGAAGACAACCTATATTCACAACCAACCCCAGGCCGGTGCGGTCTCTCCGAGCGTTAGGCAAATTGCAGAAGGCCTAGTGTGGATGTTACTACTAGCCGTGACTCACTCTCTCTCTCTCTCTCTCTCTCTCTCTCTCTCTCTCTCTGTGTGTGTGTGTGTAGCAAAAATGGCAGCTCCCTCTCGAGTGAACTAAGCAGCCGACCACCGTTGGATTCTTGCACTAGAGGTTTTGGCTAAGAACCCCTTACATTTTAACCCGACGCACCTCGCTGGCTGCATCCCCCTATTCGCGTGTGAAAGCGCTGTGGGAGAAGTTGCCCATCTCTCAGGAATAAAGGAAGGGTTACCGGTGTCTCCGGACTAGAGAAAAGTGGGTGTCCGAAGCACTACCAAATCAGCCCAGATACCCTCAGCCCCTACTACTTCCCAACGGCGGGAAGAAAAGCTACTTCGCTTGAGGCGCCAGACTTGTGGGAGACACCTGCCAAGGCAAGGAAGTTAGATCTGAGCAAGGGCGTTCCAGAGATCCCACGGCAATTTTCCCCTTTCAGACCAACGCAACTGGAAAGTGCAGGCTTTGGGGCCAAAGCTAGCTCGAAGTGGTCTTTTTAAAGAAAATCCGTTTGGACAACAGCTCTTGGGTCTTGGGTTTCTCAAGCACAGTCATTTCAAATATGGGATGCACCCCGAATGCAGACGCAAAGCACAAAGAGAGAGGTGCGATTAGAAACGGGGAACTTCGCTCCCTCCCCTCCCGGCTACGTTGCTACTTATTCTCAGCAAAATGTATTTTTTTCTCTCCCCCGTTTAGGGTCCGGTTTTGTTTTTGGTTCAGAAAAAAAACTACCTATAAAGGATCCAAATCCTTTCCTTTCGGCAGGTTACGTTTTGTTAATGGAAAACCAGGAAGGAGTTTTGTTTTGTTTTTTAAATCACAAATTCCTTTTCCCGGCTTTAGAACTGACCCTAGAGAGACCCAAAGAGAAAGAGAGAAAGAAATACAGGACAGAGAGGAGGTCTTAATGGAAGTCGGAAAAGTTTTCGGTAGCGTTTATTTCATATTTGGTTGCTGAGAGTTATGACTGGCTGGAAAAAAAAATCCACGGCTGGAGGGACGCAGGAACGAGGAGCGGAGCGCGGTCTAAGGAGGAGAGGATGCGCCAAGCAACGCGTAAACCTCTCGCTCCCTTTGAATTAGCCAGCCCCTCGGATAATGTATCTGCAAAGTTCTAACGCAGCCCATTGGCTGACGTCAGGGGCGTCACAGACTTGTGGAGCCGCTCATTGGCTCTTTCCACGTGCGGGCCATCCTCACGTGCTTCCGGTTGGAATGAAAAAAAAAAAGTGTGTGGTTGAGAGATGTTTTTTAGGGAGAGTTTGTTGCAAGATCGGAGCTGTCAGAGATTTTGCCTTTTTTTTTTTGCTTTTTTTCCTTTTCCTTTTCCTTTCTTTTCTTCTTCTTTTTTTTTTAAAGAGGGGAAGAGGGGAAGAAAAGTGGGAGAAAAACATGCCCGCGCGAGCGGGCGATTAAAGCATCAGCCGAGAGCGATCCATGGGCAAAGCTGACTCTTTGACACTTGGGGAACCCCAACGCCGCGCCGTTTGGAGAAAGATGGGTAGACTGTGAGGACTTTGGGGGGAGGGGGCGGAGTTTGGGGGGGGCTGGTTTTGTTTTGATCTCTCTCTCTCTCTCTCTCTCTCTTTTCCAAGAGGGGGGAGGAATGAGAGGGAGAGGGAGAGAGAGAGAGAGAGGGTGAGACTGGAAATATAAGATAACTGCAAAAAAAAGCCAACCCGTCCAAATGCCCGAGTCTTTGGATACCTCTCTCTACTAGACCCCCGCTCTAAACCAACAAGTGGATTTTCTTTTTCTTTTTTTCTTTTTTTTTTTTTTGGAGGGCGTGCGGTTTCGCGCCCCCCACCCCCCACTTTCCTCCTAACAAAATTCTCAGCATCGGAATCCCCTCCACCACCTCCTGGACTTGGCGAGGTGGGGCAGCCCGGAAAGTGGCGGGGGGGGAGGGCCAAGAGAAGAACCGCGATCTCCGGAGCTGGCGACCCAGGATGGAAGAGCAGGCGGCGGACGCTAAAAGGCAGCGCGACTCGGCTCCGGCTCCAGTCGGCGGCGGGAGCAGCGGCAGCGGGAGCGACGGCGAGGGAGTCCCGGTGTCTCCCGGCGGCCACCCTCCCTTGTCTCCCGCCGCGCCTTGCCTCGTGCCTCTTCCCCATCACCCGCACCACCACCAGCACCAGCACCACCACGGCCACCAGCACCACCAGCACCAGCACCATCCACAGCAGCAGCCGGCGCCTCCGCCCCCCCAGCAGCAGCAGCAGCAGCAGCCGAGGCCGCCCCCGCCGCCGCCACCGCCGCAGCAGCAACAGCAGCACCGCACCACCAACTTTTTCATCGACAACATCCTGAGGCCGGACTTTGGCTGCAAGAAAGAGCACCTCTTGATCCTGGCCGGCGGCCCTGCGGCGGTCGGAGGAGGAGGAGGAGGGGGAGGAGGAGGGGGAGGCAGCGGCGGCGGCGGCGGCGGCGGCCGGGACAGAGACCTAGACCGCGCGGCCAGCTCAGGTAGAGAAAATGTCAGCCCACTGCTCGGCAGGCCCCTCCACCCGGCCTCCTCTCTCCTTAGCGCCGACTCGCCCGGGAACCCCGACAGCTCCTCCACGGCCTCCAAAGCGAGCCCCGCCGCGGCGGCTGCGGCAGCAGCGGTAGGGACGGCCAAGCCCCCCTCCACCACCACCGCCACCGCCACTACCACCACCACCACCTCCTCCTCCACCACCACCACCTCCTCCACCTCTTCCACCTCCTCCTCCTCCTCTTCCTCCTCCTCCTCCTGCTCGGAAGGGAGTGGAACTAACCCGGCGAAGTACGGGGAGCACGCCAACCCGGCCATCCTCCTCGTGGGCTCCGGGAATGGAGGAGTGGGGGCCTCCGGCGATTCTCAACAGCCGCTGGTTTGGCCGGCCTGGGTTTACTGCACTAGGTATTCAGACAGACCGTCCTCGGGTAAGAATCCTCTCGAGAACCCAACACCCCCCCCTTCCCTTCCCTTCCCTTCCCTCCCCTCTCTATCCTCTCGGGTGATTGTTGGTTCGGCTAAGCATGTCAGTTCCCCTCGCTCTCCACTCCCCCCACCCCCCCACCCCTCGGGACGATCAGCCTGTGACCTTCCTGTCCCTCTTCCGCCTCGGGATCCAAATCTGGGGCCGGGGAGGGGCGGGGACTTGCCGCGGGACCCAGCAGGCTCGGGGTCCTTGTCCCAAGGTTGCCCCACTCAGGGGCTCCGCTGACACTCCGGCTGGGTTAGGAGTTCCGCTTTGCCTGCGCTTGGGCTGAAAGTTGGGTTGAGTTTCCAAAGAAACGGAACCGAGTAATTCTTGGGAAGTCCAGCCGCTGGGGAGGCGGGCGGAGAGGGGGAGGTTGTGGGTTGGTTGTTTCATCTTCTGGATCCTCTTGTTCCTCACTTTCCACCCCCCCTCCGCCAACACACACCGCAATTTGAAGACCCTTTATGCAGAACGAAGAAGCCCCTTTCCCCTAAAAGGTCCCACCTCCCTCCTAAACGCAGAACAATCCGAGTTGGGGAGGTCGTTGGGAATCCAGCGGCCTCCTCCAAGCGGGCAACGGCGACCCTTCGGCGGAAAGCCTTTGGAACCAGGCTGGCCAACGTGTCCGTTTCGAGAGGCCGTTCCCTACATCCTGATTATTATTATTTTTGGCGACTCTTTCAGCAAGGAAGGCTTGAGCAAAGGCGTCTCCTTCCTTCGTTTTTATAGCTACGGGTGCGTAAAGTCAAGGGGAGGTTTTCAATTTTGGAGACCCCAGTCGAGCTGGTAGAATTAGCCAGGCGCGTTGGGGCGACTTCGGCGGCGAATTGTTTCTTACGCGCGGATGAAAGGTCGCCTTTAGTTCTTCTGGGCTAGTGCGGAGCGGTGGCTTGAACGAGACACCTGCACCTTTAGTATGCTGGATTATTTTTTTTTTTTGGGGGGGGGGGGGAAGTCCCAGGCAGGCGGTAGGGGCCGAAGGAACTGAAGGGCAGAAGATGTGCAAGCGTGCGGGGCGCGAAGGGAGAAAAAACAAACAAACGCTCGGTGCAAGGCAGGCCTCGCGTGGCGGAGATCAAAATGTAGGCCCCAGGCCTTGGCTTCGAGGTCTGGTCTTCTCCTCGTAGATGTAACCCAGACCCCATATCCAGTCATTTGATGTGACTTGGCCACCTTCATCCGCCAGGGCAGCAATGCCACCCCATTTGGCCTGGGGGGTACCCCAACTAAAAGAGTGGCGGGTGGACAGACACACACACACACACACACACACACACACAGAGAGAGAGAGAGAGAGAGAGAGAGAGAGAGAGAGAGAGAGAGAGAGAGAGAGAGAGAGAGAGGCTTTCCTCGGTTCCCTTCCCAGAGCAAAAGGAGGGAGAACCAAGCCGAGACCGGGGGAAGAGCCTTCCAGCGGCGGCTTTTTCCTCCGACGCTCCCCAGCCAGCTCCTTTCCGCAAGGCGATTGATCCAATCCGCCGCTCTCCGCGTCCTCCGCCGCCGCCGCCGCCGCCACCGTGCGGCTATTGACACCTCCCCGCGCCTGGAAACGTAGAAAAGCCACTGTGATTGACTAAACCAGTTGATTGAGTGATTGAGCTGTCAGGACTATCTCGTCCGCGCGAGGACACCGGGATTTTAGCCCTCCTTTCCCAGCGCCCCTCCGCCTGGCCAAGGCCGGGCTCTGGGTTTTAAAGGTGTTGGACCCCTCGGAAAGCAGAAGGCCTCCTTCGCTCACGCGGTTAAGGCCAACCTGTTGGCACTCCTGGGCTTCCTGGAGGGGTTGGGGGCGAGGGTTAAATCTGTCCCTTCCCGGGCCCTACGCTTCCCTTTTCCAACATCTATTATTTTATTTTATTTTATTTTTATTTTTATTTTATTTTCGGTGTGGAGGCCAAGGCGGCGTGCTCTAAGCAGGTGTCTGTTTAGTTCCCCCAGCTGCTCTCTTTAGAGACCAGGCCGAATTAGGGGGCAGGGTCTGTTTTCCAGGTCATTTGGGCAGGATCTGACCCTCGACTTTCACCAACTAGCCCAACACAACATCCCCAGCAGCTTTTTTGGGGGGGGGTGTGTTTGGAGAAGGGGAGGGCGGTTCTCTGGGAAAAAATATCGATCTGAAATCTGCGGTTATCCTTGGTGTTTTTTTTTTTTTTAAGGGTAAAGCAGATTTGTACATCCGTCTGCGTTTTTGCCTCCTGTACCTTATGCCCGTGCGTGAACACGCGTCTGTATAGATATCAGCATTACCTTTTTATCTAGTCAAACTCGAAATAAGACGGAGTTGTAACTTTGAGGCCTAACTATGTCCTCGCGAGTTTCCATCTGGGACTTTTTCCCCGAATCTTAAGAAAAAAATCTCACTTGAAGCTTAGCGAGGAAATCGAAAAGCAACGAATTTCCCTTTTATACTGTAAAAGACCTTCGCTCCCAAAACACGCGCACACAAAACACACACGGAAATATTTTTTCTTCTTTTCTTTTCTTTCTTTTTTTTAGGAGCGTCTTTACAATATTTCTTATGACTTTGGAGAATAGATAAAGAACGTACTTTAATACATTTTTTTTTAAAAAAAAAGTCTAAACAATTTTTAGCTATTTTTTTTTCCTCCAGCGATGCAAAATAAGGAAGGGTTTTGAAATGATACGCCCTCTGGCCTGAGAGTTTAACAACTAAACCAACATATTTTAAATGGCCGCCTTTTCCTGAATAAAATTTCAAGTTCCCTACAAAACTACGGGGAGGCAGAATCATGGGAGGGGGGTGGGAAATATAGAACAATTTGCTCTGCTGTCGGTGATCGGCATGGATGGGTTTTGTTTCTATTTTGTTTCTTTGGATTCTTTTATAGGCAGTAGAAGCGCCTGATTCCAGGTCTTGTTTGTTTGTTTTTTAAAAAGCCAACTTTCAGGAAAAGAGAAACTTCCAAGTGGAATTTTACAATATAAAACCTCAGATTTGCCAAATCTGCCCCAAATAAAAACGACCCATTCCCTAATTTTTCAGCTTTTATTCTAGTAGCTAAAAATATACCCGCAGCGCGGGGGGTGTGTGTGTGTTGTGTGTTTTCACGCGTCTGTAGGCAGAATTTGTTCTAGGTTTCCCCAGTTTGGTGCAGTTTCAAGGCAATGTGTCCTTATGTGGACACAATTTGGGGGTGGGGGGTGTCGATGCTCGGAATGAGAAAGCGGGTGGTGGTGAAGTAGAGCTGGGGGATTCTCAATCAAGATTTGCTTTGTTTCAATCTTCTCTGTTGAAACATTCAACGGGCCCCGTATCTCTCTTTCCTAAATTTTAACAGGGAGGCCACATTTTCTTGCTTGCTTGCTTGGGTGGCTTTCACGTGGAAGGATATTTGTTTGTTCTCCTCCTCTGGGTCAAACAGACTCCTAATCCCAAAGAGTTGGCTTCTGTTTTCAGGCTGCAGCGGGCAGGCCCCACTCTCTACCTGACGGCCAACGGTTGTGTATTTCGGTCGCTTTTCTTTCTTTCTTTCTTTCTTTCTTTCTTTCTTTCTTTCTTTCTTTCTTTCTTTCTTTCTTTCTTTCTTTCTTT